CTCTGACCCTTGGAAGAGCAGCCCCTGGAGCAGGGGAAGCAGAGTTGGATCCCTGCGAGGCACTGGGCGCTTCTCCTTCCTGCAGCSAGGACTTTCCCTCTGGTGAAGGTCCCCGGTCTGATTTGGGGTGAGAATTGGTCCCACCCGTGTGGCAGCAGCTAAAGGAAGGCGCTTGTAGGGGCAAAGCTCAGCTCAGGCAGGTCCAGCTGGCCCAAGGGCTCCCAGGAGCAGGGTCTGTGTGTCCCCTGTCCCATGGGCAGAGCTGCTGCAGCTCTGGTGTCATTTCTCCCTGGAGGTGTCCCAGGAAGGGTTGGAGGTGACACTCAGGGCTCTGGTGACGAGGTGGGAATCGGGCACAGCTCGGACTTGTTGATCCTGGGAGCCTTTTCCAGCCTGAGAAATTCTGTGATTCAGTGATCAGARTGAGAGGGTGACAAAAATCAGAGCCACAAACCCTGGCTGTGCCGTGTTCTGCCTGCTGCCCATCCCATCCAGAGGAGGTTTTTGGGATCATCCCTTCGTGGCTTTGGTGTTTATTAATGTTTGCCTTCCAACCCTAAAAACCAAACCRCAGAGAGGGCGGCTCTTGGAGAGCTGGTGCTGGAAAGAATCCCCTGGAGTGGGAGAGACTGCAGACAATTAAATTTGCTGTTAATTTACTCTGACAATGGAGCAATAATGGAGTTTATTTACAAGCGACAGCGAGGGCCAATGTTCATGGCACTGGTCCCCACTCAATGTCACACCAGTTTTATTGGGATGTTTTCAGCTGTTTTTAAATGAATCCCACAAATCCCCTGGATAGGCATCGTAGGCCAATTCCAATGCTGATTCCCTGTAATTCACTAATTAATTTAATTGCTGCGGGGCCAGCTTGAACAGGTTGAGGAGTGGTTCTGTGGGGGTTTAAATGAAAACCACGTAAAAATGCCCCTCCAGCTAAAGCTTTCAAGCCCTKAATGAAGATAAAACATCACTTCTGTGGTGTTTGGCTTGAGCCAAGTGAAGGTTTGAGCTCAGCCTTGAGCTCAGCCCAGGAAGATTCACTGTCAGTGCTCCAGGAGGGGACAGGAGATGAATGCACAGAGCAGAGGAAGGAGGATCTGGAGGGGGAACGTGGAGAGCAGGGGATGGAAAATGCACCAAGGTGTGAGTGTGGCCTGGAGGTGAGGGCTTGGATGGCACCAGAGCACCTCCCTGAGGACCAGGAGCTTGGGTGGGGTTACCTCTCGTGGTTGAGGAGCTCTGAGGGGTCAGTGGGGTTGGATGAGATGACCTTGAAATGTCCCCTCCAACCCAAACTGCATCATGGTTCCATGATCTCCCAGCACAGCTTGGGCAGGTTAATAACGGCTTCTGTTTTGATTTCCTATTAAAAAACCCCAAACCCAAACCAAATCAAGCAAGGCCATCAAACTCTATAGAGCAGATGGTCCTTGTAGCCCTCCCTCCCAGCCCTTCCAGAGCCTCCTGCACAAGGGACTCTYCTCTCTCAGCTCCCAGGTTATTGATTTGCTCCATGCTCCCAACCCTTTTGGTGTCCCCACAAGTGTAGGAAACAATCTCTCAGTCACGTTTTCTCCCCCTCAATTAAGGGATGAGTTTTTTGTGYTGTCTCACAGCTCAGGAAGTTGGGATTTGCCCTGAGGAGGATGAAGGTGGAGGCTGAGCTTGTGGGGTTGGATGAGRTGAACTTGAAATRTCCCTTTSAACCCAAACTGTGTGTCTTGATTCCATGATGTCTCAGCACATCCTGGGAAGGTTAGAAACAGCTTTTTTTGGTTTCCTATTAAAAAAACTCCAAACCCAAACCAAACCAAACTACCACACTCCTGTGACCACTCTGGCCGCTCCCAAACTCTTCCCTTCTCCCAGATCCCTCTCCTTCCCCTTCCTCCTGCCCTACTTTCCCCAGCAGCCRGCGTATCCTCATTYGGGGTCATCCCACCTTCCAGCAGCMCTTCCTCCTGCCCAGGCTTTGTCCCCAAAAGCCCCCTCCTTGCCCCACAGAGCCCCCCGTGCTGGGCKGGCACAAAGGAGCGGCAGCACAGCTGCAGGGCCGGGTAACGCTCCGGGAGAACCCGCGCTCCCGTTTTTCCTGTCCCAACAATGCACGCAGCCGAGCTCTCTCTTCCGAAAAGGTTTCGCTCCCCCGGAATTTTGTGCTCTCTCCGTGGGTGGGTGGCTGCATTCACTGTTCCATAATAGCCCCGGAGTCCCCCGTGGGAAATGTCCTTGTTCCTTTTCTTCCTGCTTTGGCTGCGTCCCCTCGCACCGGCAGCCGTGGGGTCAGACCCGAATTATCACCGCTCGGCGGAGCAGGGAGGAGAAGGTGGGATCCTGTTGGGTAATCCTGGGAGCTGTGTGTGCTCAGAACTCACCTCGGGTGGCTCCTGGAGGTGCCCTCAGGAGGGAATGGTTGGGTGGGGAGGGCAGGAGGGGCACACAGAGAGTGTGACACCGGGGGTGACATGAGTGGGTGTGCCACGGGCACTGCCAGAGGGATGAGAGACTCTGGGATGAAGTGATGCCTTAGGATTTTCAGCTCCTGTCTTTTCATGTATCTGTATTCTTGTACTTCTGCACAGCACTGAGCTCCTGGTCTCCCATCTTTAGACAAAACAATTCCTCTCTGGGCCTGAAATCCAAGGACACTTCGCTGCCTCAGAGCCCCAAAATGTGGAAACAACAGAGAATTGAGGGAGCAGGTTTGGGGTGGGAGTCAGCATCACCTGAAGGTGTCATTGCAGAATTTGGGCTCGAAATGTTAATGAGACAGAACTGATAAAAGGTGAAGATCTCGTGACTCGGGGTCCATTTTGGGTGTAGGATCAGGAGGAGGCTTTGTCTGCCCTCAATGCACCTGTAGGCCTGGATTAAATTTGTCTGCTTTATTCTCCTGACTTTGTCTGGCCCCTGTTCCAGGTGAGCCTTGTTTTAGGCATCAGGAGAAGCAGGAATTTCTGCCAGGGGTTGATGTTCTGTAAAAAACTTTGTGTCAAAACATCCTTGACCTTGTCCACCCAACACGCAGAGCCACCAGGCAACTCCAACAATTCCAAACAAACGTGGAGGYGCCATTTGTGCTGCCCTGGCTCCAGGGAAAGTCAGGCACAACCTCCAAGAGCTTTGCAGAGGCAGAGGGTGCTGGGCTGGGGGATGGCAGGGGAACTCTGGTGTGCTGGATGTGGTGCTTGGTGATGGTGTCACTGGTGGGAGGTGCCCCAGTGGAGCTCTGCTTTTCCATCACTTCACTCCTGATTAAATCTCAGCTCTGATGCAGGGTTTGCAGTGACCCTCAGCAGGATTCTGGCAGGACATTCCCAGCAGCTGCTCAGGAGTCAGGGGGAGGAAAGGCCCGTTGGGTCAGATGCTCCATACCCAGCCAGGGCTGTCCCCAGGGCTGTCCCCAGGGCTTGCCCAGCCCTGTTATTTCAGGTTCCAACCAGTGCCACATCCAGGGGAAGTGACTCAGCCTGACAGCAGTTGCAAGCTCTCCAAGGCCCCAATTTTCAGTTGTTTCATACAATTTTCCCTCATTTGGGGAGAACCTAAAGCTCAGTATAAATTTCACACTTCCAAACAAGCCACAGGAGAACATGGGTGGTCACTTTTCTGTGTCTGCAGCTGGGGCTGCCCCTCAGGGAACACCTTCCTCTGGGATGGGATGGGATGGGATGGGATGGGATGGGATGGGATGGTGACTACTGAGACCCATCAGATTCCTGAGAGCACTAATGAGCCTTGATCCCCTTACATGGGATCTCCCCCTCATCCCAGCAGCCTCCTCAACTGTGGAGACTTTTCACCTCTGGCTGTGCCCCCTGGCTGCCCCACACACCTGCACTGCAGGGAATTCACCCCCTAGTGGAACTCCTCACGTTTTGCTCCCTCTCCTATCTCCTTGGTGGGCTCTGTGCCTGCTCCACAGCCTGCTTTGCTCCCACCTTCAGCCTGGGCTTCCCTTTCCCTCTGGCTGAGCTCCAGGTGGGATCTGGACCTGAAGTTTAAATTTTAGTTTAMACAGGCCATGCTCAGGTGATGTCCTGCCCAGGGAATATTCCCTGTGAGTGATTTCCAGAGCTGTGAGAAGGCTGATCCCTGACAGGATCCACTGAGCTCTCACTGCCYGTGGTCTCCACAGAGCTGGACCCTGCAACCCCTGGAGATGGAGTTGTGAAGGTCCTGGCACATCCACTGATGGGAAGAAATCACCTCCCAGAAAAGCTCGGGACTGAGGAGGGACAAACATTCCTGATATTTTTCCCTCCCAGCTGTGTTTGGTCTGGGATAAATTCCCACGCAGTGCTGATAAACCCTGCTGGCTCTGCCTTTGGGRCTTTTGGCTGCTCAGGGCTCCCAGGGGCTCAGCCCCTCCGGCTGGGTCCCAGTTTTTTGGTGTTGCTGTTGCACCTTCCTTTTGCAGATTTGAGGATTTCCTGGAAATCTGTGGGTTCAGTGGGGAGCTGGGGAAATCCCAGAYGAAACCCCAACTCCCCACAAACAGCCCCTCTCCTGCAGGACCCTATTCCCTTCCCTCCTTCCCATCCCAGGGCTCTTTCCCACACCAAATCTTCCAAGGAGGTGGTGTCAGGAGTGACACACGAGTGTCTGAAGTGGATCAAAGCAGCTTTCTGCTCGATTGATTTGTTATTTTCCCTCTCTGGGGTGTGGATATCTCCTGGCAGGTCTCAGCGTGCCCGGGGCTGTTTGTCTGCCCTCCAATAAATCTCACACCTCATCCACAGCGGGAATTACAGGGGATTCAGGGGCTGGATGCTTCCCAAGCCGTGGCAGATGCTCACACAGACGGTGCTGGCACGATTCCCACTGACAAATCATYGAGTGGGGCTGTCCAGACCTTCCCAGGAAAGGGACTGTGGGGTCTGGAGTGACCCTACAAGGCTGGCCCGAGGGGTTTGGTCTGAGTCTGTCCCTTGTCCCCACTCCTGGCTGGTGGCCACACTGCAGGGACCAGGTTTTGGATGGCTGGGGGAGCCATGGGTCTGTGAGTCTGTTTGCCAATGGGGAGGAACAAGAAACCGTGAGGTTTGAAACTCATTTTCCTCAGGTGTTCCTGAAGTTCAGAGAGTCTTTAGTTAAAGGATGAACTTGGAAAGGGAAAGTGTTCACCAAGGGAGTGAAAAACTCCTGGTCAAACAGCCCAGGGGCTCTCACCCTGTTCAAACCACGTTGAGCATTCACAGCTCATCCTGAGAGTGGATCCTTTCCATCCTGGGAATTCCCACTGGAATTCCTGGGATCCTTTCCATCCTGGGAATTCCCACTGGAATTCCTGCCCTCAGAATAGGGCTGAGCCCCACTTTGGGCACAGAGGGGTGTCCCCATGCTCTGCTCAGGACAAGCTGGGGGACACAGCAACTTCTTCCCACCSCTTGGTCCAATTCTTTATTTACAGCACCAACAAGGGAGATTGGGAAGGATGAGCAGGATTCCTGCACCCAGCTGCCCCAGGACTTGGGATTTAGGATATTTGTGGTCCAAGCTCTGCTTTCCAGCCCTGAGCATCCCTGCTCTGTGGTTGCAAAGGTGCCACCACTGCTGGGGATGGGATGGCCTTCCTGCCTTAGGGACGCTGGCCTCAAAACTCATATTCTGATTCAAAAATCTCACCTGGCTGTTTGTGAAGTTGTCTGAATGTTTTTTGTGGTCTGAGTCCACTGAATTTGTGTAATTAATTTTAATGTGAATTTTAATTTTCCCAAATTTGCGCTCTTCTTCCTGGGTTTGGTCTGTTGTCCAATTGATYTGTTTTTTCTCTTGTTGGAGAGTGAGCAGAGCCCTGCAGTGGAGGTTTCTCAGCCCACTGAGCATCTCTCTCTTCTCCCCCAATGCAGATGAGGTGAACCTGCTGGACAAAATCACTCTCCATGCCCAGGACCTCAGCAACGTTTCCTTCAGCTATGACCACAGCAAGTGCAGGGTGCTGGAGATCGGACAGTATGCCACCCTCAACATCCCCACCAGGGAGGCCTTTGGGGACAGGTAACCTCCTTCACRGGGTGGGGTGGGGTGGTGGGGCTCAAAGATCATCTGAGGTGTGCCTCGTGGTTTGAGGAGTTCCTTGGAGGGTCCATTCCAGGAGATAAATCAGYGRTGYTGYRCTCTGAGCTCRGGGCTTCTTTRTTTTKTGACATTTTGGAGCAGTTTGCCCYRTCCATGGAAGTATCCAAGGCTGRGCTGGGTGAGGCTTGGAGCAACCTGGGTTAGTGRAAGGTGTCCCTGCTCCTTCCTTTAAGGTTCCTTCCCTTCTAAACCGTTCTGGGATTCTTTGCTGGTTGTTGGTTGGACACAGGAAGGTCCTTGGCACGGCCCCACCGCCCTGCACTGAGGTTGTGTGGGCAGTGCTCACTTTGGCCTGGCTGCTTCTCTCTGGGCCTCCCATCTGGAACAGCTCTTTGCTCTTTGCTCTCTTCATTTTCCCTTCTTACCGGCTCCATTTGTGCCGTGACTCTGATTTTTTTATCCCGAGGGGTCAGTTCATGGTGACACGTATAATTTAGGATATTTATGTCCACATTCCCCTCTCTCTGGCAGGTTTGCAGACGAGCTGAGCGTGCTGCTGAAGCTCCGTTACTCCCTGAAGGAGGACACCAGCCTGGTGACCATYCTCAGCCACCGCAGCCATGTGCTCTTCCAGATCAGGATCAACCCCCATGGCCTGGTCTTTGTCACCACGAGGAGGAGACACTACGAGTAGGTCCCAGCCCAGGGGCTKTTTTCCTGCCTGTCCATCCTTCCTTTTCTATTCCCAAGACCACACTGGTGGGTTTTGGGCAGTGCTGAGCTCACCTCAGCTGAAGGAAAGTGATATCCCTCAGACCTGGTAAAGATTGTCACTGCCGAAATGATGTAGGTGTGGAAAACACAGCAAAGAACAAAAAAAGGTTCAGATCCCTGGGGATAAATTGAAATACAAATATCAGTAATTTCTCAGATGCCTCGAGTGGTTTTGGACATCCCCAAATCTGTGGARGACAAGAGACAATRTCTCCTTRGAGCAATTCTAGGCTTGTTCTTTGYATCTGTGCCAAGGATGGGTCCTGGCAGCTGGTGAGGGGTGAGGGCTGGTCCTGCCCAGGGTGTGGGGTGGAGTTCCACGCTGTGCCCCTTCCCCTCCCCTCAGGTTCCCCGTTYCGTTCCTGGGCGATGGGCGCTGGCACCGCGTGGCCCTGGGCATCTCTCTGGAGAGGCTGGAGCTGCACGTGGACTGCAGGCTGGTGGACAGAGTGAGCTGGTCCAACTACTTTGGGATGGCAGTGAACACCGAGGGGCTGGTCATCGTCGGGGGCCTCATCGAGTCCTTCGAGATCCCCTTCAAGGTGAGAGCTGGGCAGGGTCTGCTCTGCTTGCATGGATGAGAGTGTGAGTTCCGGCTGAAAGAACCCACTTCCATCRCCTTCTCTTCCCAAAACAATGTTTATTTTCATGCTTGGGCAGGGTAAACTTTGCCAAGGCTTGGGATTGTGCAGAGGGYTTGGGTTTGGGTCAGGGTAGCACAAGTGGCAGCAGTCAGGTCACTTCTGGGTTGGGCTTCCACTCATCCTCTGGTGCTGGCCATGGCTTGGACCTCRTGGAGAAGGCTCTGAGCAGTCAGCATGGAAAGATCTGGATGGAGAGTGTGTCCAGCGGCTTCAAACTGTCAGGGAACAGCCTTAGATGGGATATTGGGAAGGAATTRTTCCCTGKGAGGGTGGGCAGGCCCTGGCACAGGGTGCCCAGAGAAGCTGTGGCTGCCCCTGGATSCCTGGCAGTGCCCAAGGCCAGGCTGGAGCAGGATGGGATAGCGATATAAGGATAATATTCCTCAATAAGAGCAAAGAGTCCCTGGAAGAACCTCCCCAGAGATGTGATGGATTCCCCATCAGTGGAGGCTTTCAAACACCACTGGAGGAGCTGTTGGACCATCTCTTCATTCCCAGAGGATCTTCTGAGGTTCCTTCCAGGTCATTCTGCGGTTTGATGGGGGGGCTCAGGCTGCTGCAGCACCCCTGGAGAGCCACTGTGTCACCTCAGGTCTCCTTGTCCCCTCCCAGAGCTGGCAACAGGGGATGGGGAGAAAAGAGGGAAAAGAAATCGGGGAAAAGRAATCACAGCAAACCATGGCTGTCCCTCCCTTGGAGCTGCTGAAACCACTGGGGCAAAGACAAGGAAAGAGATTTGTGGGTGAAAGGGCTGATGTGTCCCTCTGTCCAGACATGTCCCTCCATCCTGCTGTGTCCCTGGCWGTGTCCAAGGCYGGGCTGGACAGGGCTCAGAGCACTCTGKGACAGTGGAAGGTGTCCCTGCACCCTGGGAATGCTCAAAACCACCCCCTGAGGAAATCCCTGGCCATGAGAAGCTGGAGATGACCTCCCCTGCAGGCTCTTCCAGAGTTTCCCTCCCCTCTGGAGGAAGCAGGGGATGAACTCTGGTTTTTGTGTCCCTTCCAGGGCGCTCTCCAGCAGCTGACCTTCGTGATGGGAGACCCGGCCGCGGCTGCTGAGCACTGCCACAGCTCCAACTCCACCTGCCCGGGCTCCTTCAGCCTGCTCAGCCCCCCGTGGGAGCTCCCCACAGCCTGGCCACAGGTGGGGAATTTGGGGTCTGCTGGGCCAAGCTTGTCCTTGGTGTCCCACAACCCAGGGCGTTAATGCAGTCTGGAAGTGCTGGGATCTCCGGTTTAGGGTGGGATGGGGACTTTGCCTCCCTTCAAGTCCCAGATGGGTTTGGTGCCAAGGAGGGGGAGTTAAAGGGAGAGTYTGGGATCCAGGGAAAGCCCAGGGATGGGGATCACTGGGTGTGTGTGACACATTTGAGTCATGCTGCAGCTGTGGCTTTTGGGAGGAGGGGGAAGCTGTCCTCGGGAATTGGACACACTCTGGAATTCTTGCCCACTCCCAGCAGGATCTCACCCTTGCAAAAGGCTGTCCCTCTGCTCTGCCAGCATTACTGGAAAATGGAAATTTGTGGGATTTGGCTTTTATTGAACYGCTCAACCAATTTACAAGGAATTTATCTGTGTCCAAAAGCCCAGATCACACAACAAACCCCTCAAAACACGAAGCAGCCAGGCTTCCCTTAGGAGCTGCAGCTGGGCCAGGGAGGTGCCTCATGTCCTAGCCAGGTGCCTTCACAGGAAGCGCTTCACAGGAGCCTGGAAAAAGCTGCAGAGGGGCGAGTGCTGAATGTCAGAGCTTGGCACGAGCCCCCCGTGTGTAACACCCACTTCTGGACAGGCTGGGACAGCTGCTGGCAAAGGGCAGTGCCAAGGGAGGGAGCTGGGTGTGCCATGGGGCTCTGTCCCACCTGGCTCCTGCCCAGGGTTCCCTCTGGGATGCTGGAGCCAGCAGGGCACAGCGAGTGCATCAGTTTGGGTGGATTGTTTAAAGAGGAGGATTTTTGGGAAAGCTGTGTTCTTGAGGGATCAGGGAGAGTGGACAAGGCTGGCTGTAATGCAGGGCTGCTCATGCTGGTTCCCTCGTGCTCTGAGGGACACAGGAGTGTCCGAGTGTCCAGTGTGATCCCTGTTTAACCCCAGCTTTGGAGGCCTGGAGCTCCTCCTGCATGGGCTTGGTCTATCCTGACCAAAAAACAAAAGCCCTTGTTGGGGAGCTGTCCCTCCTCCACCCCACTGTTCCCCTGGGGCTGCTGGCTCCTCAGATAACCTGGGATAACCCCAAATATCCCTGTGGGGAATGGAGACTGCCAGCTGGAGCCCAGCTCCATCTCTCTGCTCTCAGCCTTCCCTTGAGATGTTTTTCCTGACAGCTCTGGTGTCTCAGCCACCTGAAGAGCTCTGAATCCACTTCTGGGGTAGGAGAAGCTCTGTGGATAGTTGATTGCCCCTCAAACCCTCTGTGGATAATTTATTGCCCCTCAAATCCACTGTGGGATAATTGTAATGACAGGAATGCACTGAGCTGAGCCCCAGAGGTTTTTAAGCTCCAAATCAAAGTGCTTTTCCATGAAGAACAAAGTTTCACTTTGCGCATGGGTGAATTGCCTGCAGCCAGGATAATTCTGCCCCACATCCCCCCAGTTCCCATCCTTGCTGCCCCTCCTCAGCACCAAGGAGCTTCCAAACCCAAAGAAACTGCAAAACCACCCAAAGCCTTGAGAGTTTGGCTCAGAAGCCGTTCCCTCASGGTGCTGTGAAGGATTGGCTCCCAGGTTGCATTCCCTGGGTGTTTCCTGAGCTGGAGGATCCTGGAGCCAGCAGTGACCTCGTGCTGGAGTCAGTGCATCCTGGGGCAGTGATGCTTTCCCTCTTTTCTCTCTCCACCTSTCCAGGTGCCAAAGGAAACCAATGAAATCCAGGATTCATCTGCTCAGGTACAACTCCTGCCTTGTCCCTCCTCATGTCCCTCTGCTGTCACCCCTGGGTGTCTCCTGGGGACACGAGTGCCTCTAATTAGCAATAATGCAAAACCAAAGCACCCAGACAAGACCATTAATTATCATTTCCTTGGCTCTTGGTTATTATTTTCTTTATTGCAACCTCTCTCTTTAATGGTTTGATCTTCCCTTACCGTGTCCCAGACCTGGTGGCAGTCACAGAGTGTCCAGTGACCCTCCTGAGTGTTTTGCTGGAGCCAGAGGAGCACTGGAGGAGCAGGAATGGGCTGGACCAGCCCACTGCCCACACAGAGGATTTGTGGGTCWGCCTGGGAGCTGAGCCAGGATTAGCCTGGAGGGAAGGAAATGAGGGTGATGTCAGCAGGGTTTGGGATAAAGCAGGAGTGTGGATCACCACTGCTCCTGACCTGTGTGGGATCGATGCCTGCCTGGGGAGCCTTCCCCCAGCACCTCCCTGCTGTCACTGAGGAGGTGCGAAGGGCAGGAGCTCTCCCAGGGAGGAGATTTTGTGATTTTGGGGCCCTCCTTGGTGCGGCTCCTGGGATCTGGTGCTGGCAGAGGGGTGGCTGCTCCCCAGTCCCACTGGTGCTCCTGGTGCTGAGCTCCCTGCTGGAGCTGCTGTCCCCCAGCTGGAGCTTGGAGCTCCTTTTGGGATTTTTTTTTCTTTTTTTTTTGAGGGATAAATTGTCATTTCTGAGCAATCTTTGGGGCATGGATGACATTGAGCCACTTCTCCTGCTGTTTATCTTCCCTTTAACTGCCTGTCCTAAATGTGAGCAGGAGGGCTGAGCTGGTTCCTAAACTCTGTTTTTTCCTAAACTCAGGCTTTTCCTAATCTGTGATCTTAAAGGTCTGTTCTGGGGCCATGAGGGAGCTTTCTGAGCCAGGCTGGCTTTGTGTTCCTGCTTTATTTGGGATTTTAAGCCAAGCTTTGTTGTTGGGGTTCCCGCAAACACAATCCGAGGGGGAAACCCGCCAGCAAACCCAAATCAGGATTTTTATGTGTGTGACTGAGGTGTTCTAGTTCTTCCTTTCCCTCACCCTCCTGGGTGCTTTTAACCCTTTGGGGACAGTCTCTCTCCTCCCACCTTGCCTGGCTACACCTCCATAATTCCAGACTGGGATTGGCCAAGCGGCCTTTGGCAGCTCTGGGGTGAAGGTTCTCCAGCTCTGCTGATGAAGGAAGGGGTGATGAGTGGGTTTGAAATGAACTGAGGAGGTAAAATCCTCTTTCCTTAGGAAAGATGAGCTCTGCCATCCTATTTGGGATATGATTCCCCCCATCCCACACTCGTTTCCCAGCCAGTTCTCCTGGCACCTGGAACATCACCCTAACAAAGAAATTCACAGGTCTGCAGGGAAAAATGAACAATATTCTGGATTTGGGACAAGTTTATTTTTCAAGCCCTTAATAAGGAGCAGAAATGCCTCGGGATCTTTGGCGTTAGGGTTTATTGAGAATAAAAAAGGTGCTGCAGTTTGGGTGGAATGAGGAGCAGCCCAGCTCTGCTGCAGGGACAGACCACGGCTCTGCTTTGTAATTCTGTCCCTGTCGTGGTTCATTTAGAGGTCAATTAGTATTTCGGTGAAATCCTTAATTGTTAATTAGAGCTAAATAATTCTGGGGGCTCAGGGTGRCAGCAGAGGAAGATGCAATGGGAATGAAGGCAATAGATGAGGTTTTGGTTACTGGTAGTGATACCTGAACTGCAGCCCACTCCTTCTGGGATTTTTTTTTTTTTGTTGTTTATTGATTTGGTTTTGGTGG